GTAAACCGAAAAAGACATGACATACAAGAATAAACCAGAAATAATTGATGGTATGAAATGCTCGCCATATGGAAATTTTATCCTACTACAATAAAGACGATTATTATTGTCATTACTGACTATGTAAATTACAGTATTGACAAGATCATTAAAACAAACAATGTTACTGATATTTGTATTGCAACAAGTATAAGCGCCTATGATTGTGAATAACATTCAATGATAAAACACAATTTACTGTTTTAGTATATGTGGATACAACCAGTAAACGATTAACATGTTCCATCTGATTCATCATGTTGACTCCATCAATGGAATTCCATTTAAGATTTTCAATCATGACAAGCATTACTTCCAAAGTTGTTTCCTAGAATAAACAATAAATTATCATATGAAAGTTTCATCATAAATGCTATCGATGACTAAGTATACTGTAATGAACGAGAACACAGGCGGCTACAATTAACTTCTTTTAAAGCGGTGGGGATGAGTGTGATGTACGATACTGATGTCGATGTAGTATGTATCACTATTTGAAAGTGAAGTACCTAGCAGTAGAAAGTCAAGGAGATTGAAGAGAAGAAAGGAGAATGATAACAGAGAGTGCTCGATGTAAAAACGAAATACCTATGATGAATAAAGATGTTTTCTGAAATTACATAAACATCGAAATTATTACCTGTGGACGAATCAATTAAATTTAAAATAACGGGTCTTGAATTTTAGCGTGGAATTCATACAGTGACTTGTCTGAATACCGTTTTCACATGTTAACTGATGTTAGTATTGATGAAAACCCAAAATCTACATCCTGACAGTAAATCAACTTAAATCATTAGTCTCATTCATCATATTAGAGAAATAATCCTCATTTAATCCTAGAATAATAGATGCATATACTGGAGGTCAATTCTCATGTAGTAACGTTGACAAGAGCATGTGAAAATGTTATGTATATAGGTATGACAATGCATGACTAGCCGTTTTAAAGCTATGATGGTTCGTTCAATGGAATATTCATTCAATAATGATAGTAGAGAAATTGAAGTACTTTTCAATTGTGAATGATGTAAGTGATTACACTTATGATAATTAGAAATATTATCTTACTTGTATTTAGAATAGTGTACTTGTATTCAATCGTCAGCTAGTCGTAAAGCTTACTGAATTCGATTGTTGATTAGATTCTCTATGTTTGTTTATTCACTTCCATAGACTACCAATAATTGTGAATTATGGGGTTCATTTATTTGACACTATTCGTTGTGTAAAAAAATTGGATAGATAGACATATTGAACAATGAGTAGGATCTTTACAAACATGTTGAAACATAAATATTGGTACAAATGGGGTACTGAATAGGCATACGCCACACAAGACACTTGATTTATGTTTGGGTTGTGATACTGTGGTATGACCTACTTATGTCCATATTCGTAGTGCATAACGAAAGTCAGGAATAGAATGTATTTCAGTAAAAAATCTAGAATGAAGGAACGAGAACGGAACGCAATTGATATAAAAATCCAGGAGCAATGAAATCTAAGACGATGGACTAATATTTTCAAGGAAACAACCAAGTTTTTTTGAGACAACAGATTGATATTTTGAAAATAAAGTACTTACTGTATTGTTCTCAGATTTTGATGAGATATTTTGTATTTTTGTGTTCATGTGCAATGGAATGCCCCAATCTTCTTCTTGTTCACTACAATAATGTCCAGGTGCCCAGATCGAAGAAGGTTGTTTTCTAAGGGGGACACATCAGGAGCATTTGATCTAATGATGAGTACACAAGTCAGTGAAGCAGTGTCAGGAGATGTATTCCTTTGGTAGCTGGAGAAGAACTTTCGATTTATACGCCATTTGTTCCCACAACATTTGAGATGCTATGCTCACCATTTGTTTGGAGTGAGGGTTTTACGACTTCCATAGGTGAATCCTCAATATCCACCAACCCGGTTAAAGCGCTGAATATGGAGAGGGAGATAGAGCTAAACCCATACATGTGACAGTGGTATTAAGGGGCCAAACTTAGGTTACATTGTAGTGATTTGTCTCGAGCAATCGTTTATCCAGACAGACATTTCGAATGAGAAGTGGTTAAGCGATATGAACAGGAGAGGAGAGGATTGGAAAATGCAAGTTTGCCAGCTTCAATTTTATCACCTATTTTCAAGACACTTGATATTCAGTTTGTTGAAAATGTGATATTTTAATTTATCACTACAATGAGTGCTTCCAGATGTGGAAGTAATTGTTAATGGACAAGTAAACATTGCATAATAAGGAGGTAGTATACATATTTGTGAACTCTCATAGATTGAATTTTGAGTAAATTCTACTTCTTTAATGCCTTCCAGTAACTTGACGCTCAAACACCTTGAAACTATTCTTTCAAATAAGAAAAGAAAACATGACATTTGCTATAACCAAAACGTCAAGAAATACGACATTGACCTAGTTCACACCAATCATGAAAATTCGGAAGAAACGTCGCATCTGGAATCTGAAGATCGATATAATGTACAGCTGAATGGATCAAGAGTGATACTTTTACGTGTGTAAGTGAACGAAGTTTCATGTACATTCACATAATACTTATGAATGATCTTACACAGCCTGCTTAATATCTGCCATCTACTAAGAATCGAAGATTTTCATATTAAATATGTACATATTAATTCCAGATGCAATATTGAGAGAAACGTTTGATGTATATACCATTGTTCTAGTATGTGAGGTGTCACGTCAGAGCATATTGTAGCATACTTCTACGTTGTGATTATTCAATCGTGTGGTTTGTCATTTTTATTCTTCTTCAATATGCGTTTGTGACCAACTATATTTTTTTACTTGACACATCATAGAACAGTAGATGATTTCGTTCTGTATCAGATACATCTTATACTAGAATCACACGAACATTACAGTATCGGAGTTACTTTGAATTTTTGTTATAAATTTTCGGTGATTAATCATCAACTTACATCTATTTGACAGTTGAATGTATGAGTCGACTGAAGCTAGAACAGTATGGAATACCTCGATACATTAGAGGCCCGTTTCGTCCTAGTGTGATATTCTTCAGCAAGACGCATTCACGATCCCGCCTCGTGAGGTTCGAACGTAGTACCACTCTGTCTCGCATGCGAACGCTTATTCTCCAGGCCACTAAGCTGGCATCCAGGAGTAGAAAACGAAGTTTGCTTCCAACGAGTACATCATTCTCATTCATGATTCTAATAGTATGTGATCAACTTACACAACTAATTCATTTCATGATCTGGTTTCATATGCTCTATTAAATGGAGTATTTCTGTATCATTCATCATTCATCAATAACCTCTGCGAAATGCCCTGGTATGGCCGAGGATTGGAACAGTTAGCTTCCCCTCTCGAAAGTCTCATATGGCCTACTCACTGCCTCCTTGCCAGTGGGATGTTATTTACAAAATTGGAGGATCGAAATGATTGTGCGGCGCTCCGGGTGTAGCTCCGTGAGAAAATCACGTGCTTCCATTCGGGCACCAGCGCTGTACCCCATCCAGCACACAAATCGATTGATTTGTATGGAGCATATCTATTTGATTCCTCGTTCTACCGATATTTATGTTTTCCAATAAATAATAATAATAAAAACGGTTTTCTGTCAAATCGCATTTGTACTCTATGACTACATTACGTAAACTGTTTGTAGAGATCAAACTCATTGTACAACATGTCTATCTATCCATTAGATTACACAACGAATAGTGTCAATTAAGTGAATCACATAAATCATAATTATTGGTAGTCTATTGAAATGAATAAAAAAACATACAGAATCTAATCAACAATCGAATTTTACAAGCCTCTCAGATTACTGCAGATTAAGTACAAGTACATTTGTCATTTGATTCCGTCGAGTAGAGACGCCATACGTAAATTATCCTATTCTAAACACAAGTAAGAGCATATTTGTAATGATAATAATCATTTACATCATTCACAATTGAAACGTACGGCGAGACTATAATTTATGAATTAACCAATCACGTATAAGATAACAGATCTCGGATTTTGGCGCGAAATTCACTTACCTACTTGGCAAAATATGGTTTTCGCATTACAGCTGATATCACTTTGTGATGAAAAACCTAAATCCAATCCTCAACCTTGACCATCAAATGTAAATCAAAATTCCATTTACTCACACTGGTTCACAATCTTCACTTCGTTCTAGTTATTGAGTGGTGAGTCTCAAGGTCACTCCAGCTTCACTTGAAGGTCGTCCATAGAATGTAGTCTCACCGAAAAGTACTTCAACTTCTCAACTTCCATCATTGAATGAATGTTCCATTGAACGAACCATCATAGCTTTAAAACGGCTAGTCATGAATTGTCATACCTATATACATAACATTTTCACATGCTCTTGTCAACGTTACTACATGAGAATTGACCTCCAGTATATCCATCTATTATTCTAGGATTAAATGAGGATTATTTCTCTAATATGATGAATGAGACTAATGATTTAGAGTTGATTTACTGTCAGGATGTAGATTTTGGGTTTTCATCAATACTAACATCAGTTAACATGTGAAAACGGTATTCAGACAAGTCACTGTATGAATTCCACGCTAAAATTCAAGACCCGTTATCCTAAATCTGATCGATTCGTCCATGAATGATAATCTCGCTGTTTTTGTGATTTCATGCAGTGTATTTAGTCATTATTGTGCCTTTGTTTGCGTACCAATCATGCTCTCTTCTTTATCTCTTTTATTTTAATAACCCTCTGCCTCCAGATATTTCACTTCCGGTTATTGACACAGACTACTTAAATCTGTAGACATCAATAGCACACACTACCCTCACCCATACCCTTTTAAAGCATTTAGTTGTATACGCCTGTTTTCTCATTCATTACAATACATTTAGTCGTCCATCATATTTATGATGAAACTTTCATATGATAATTTATTGTTTATTCTAGGAAACAACTTTGGAAGTAATGTTTGCCGTGATTGAAAATCTTGAATGGAATTCCATTGATGGAATCAACATGATGAATCAGATGGAACATGTTAATCGTTTACTAATTGTATCCACATATGCTTTAATGGTAGATTATCTTTCATCAATCATAAAATCATTCCTATTTATAGGTTTTAATGATTCTTATAGCACAAATTTTATTCACATTAATTGTCATATTATTCATGTCATTATCGTAAATAGTTTGATCAATAAATCTTCTCTTTTTTGTTTTGTTTCCATAGTTATCAATCAATTTTTCAATTGCATCATTAATACAGACAACGGCTAGTGGTTTATTTGTGTATGTATTATACGTAAAGTTGTTTGATGACATAATCATTGTAATTACATTTATTGATTTTATTGAATATATATATATATTGGTACTACATTATTCATATTGTATAATTGCCAAGTGATCATTATAATACACTTAGGGTTTGAATATTGATTTGGATTGTCATGATAATGTTATTGTATTAGTAGATCGTTTCATTGAAGTCATTGTCTGTTTTAAGGTTATTTTGATGAGACTATTATTTATGGATATCTTTTGTGTGACGCTAGAGTGACCTTAAGATTATTGCATGTATACTTAACTACTTATTTTGGCCTGTTACCGACCAGCACTCTTTGACCCAATCTGTCATGAACTTTTCTTCCTTGTTTTATCCAGTGGTTGTTCATTCTTCTCATGTCCGACTCCATTTTTCGGCGTAATCTGTTATTTGGTCTTTCTCTCCTCACTTGACGTTAAGTATTCCACATGAGAGTTAGTGTTGCGATGCAGTTGGGTGCTTTCCTCAATGAACATCCTATCCACTTCTAGCACTTTTCCTGATTTCTTCCTTCGCCAGAATACGGTTTGTCCTCTCCCACATTAAGTTGTTGCTAATAGTGTCTGGCAAACTGATCCGAAATGTTTTGTAGGGACTTTCGTCGTTCTCCAAGTTTCCACCCCATACGGTGGAACTATCTTAAGGTTATATTGAGTTCGAGATGTTCTTCAGTTGTAGGTATGCTGCTCTTGCTTTGAGGATCCGCGACTTCACATCTGCATCAGATCCACCGTGTTCATCAATGATGTTACGCATATATGCAAAGGATCTTGAGACTATCCATCTAATAACTAGGAATGAATGTGAGTTATGAACCAATATATTGAATTAAATTTAGGGTTTTCGTTACGAACTGACATCAGTTATAATACCAAAACTCTATTTGGTCAGATAGTTGAATGAATTTCGCGTCAAAATGCAAAATCTGTTATCTTATGTCTGATTGGTTCATCCATAAATTATAGTCTCACCATTAAGATCGGATTGTGTCCAGTAGTCAAAAGTACTACATTCCATTCTATGTATGAAAACCATTGTGTACTCTTTACATCAAACTGCTAACGTTTTCTTATTATTCACAATAAATTTGTAACTTAATATTTGTACGATCTGCTTAGAATCCACTTATACTAATAATGACTGGCCAACTGTATAACAAAATGAAAGATTAATATCAGAAGGAGTATTTTGTGGATACTATAGTCATTTCGGTGGTTGAGATAATGAGTCATTCGAGGCACTGGATGACCGTTTCGACCTAGTGTGAAAATTCCCAGCAATGCGCATCCACGATCCCACCTCGCAAGATTCAAACCCAGGATCTATAGGGTGAGATAGTAAATCGCTGAAGACAATGGTGAACAGTGGTGCAATTTCGTGGATTAGTTGAAGTTAGACATTACCATCGTTGGATGCCGGCCGGCTCAATGGTCTATAGGTTAAGCGTTCACGTGCAAGACCGATAGGTCCTTGGTTCGGATCTTGAGAGGTGTGATCTTGAATGCGCCCTACCGAGGAGTCCTACACTAAATTGAAACGACCGTCCATTACTTCCAAGTATTTCCATTGCGATCTAGCTTCAATCGACTTATGAATTCAACGATTAAATTACTGTAATATCTATAAAAACCCTTTTCTGATCATATATATCACTTTTGTTTATTTCTGTTCTATTTTGTAGGTTGATTGCACTTGTGATCGCATTATTAATTTGTTTTGTAAAGAAGATAAATGAGTCATTTCCAGAGAATGTCACTCTTGCTATTGCTTATGTAAGAGTTGCTAAGAATCTTTTCTTTTTCATAATAAATGAACATTTATTCAGGTTCACCTACATAATACAAGAAAAATTAATTTAAAGTAAGTCGATGAGAACACCAGTTTTGCAGCAAATTCGATGTTCACGCGACGGTTTGAAGTCTTTAGTTGATAATACACAAAATGAAGACAACTACAGTCTATGACTAGTAGTAGTAGTGTAGTAGTAGTAGTATGGTAGTATTAGTAGTAATAATAGTAGTAGTAATAGTCTTAGTAGAAGTAGTAGTATAGTGGTAGTAGTAGAAGTAGTATGGTAGTAATAACAGTTGTATAATAGTAGTTGTAGTAGTAGTAATAGTAATCTCGTGTAAAACAATAACAAATAATCATGATGATGTAATAAGCAGATTATTTGTGTGACGAGTAATAGTAAAAGATTGTATAACTTCTATATATTCTCTTCATCATACTTTCCACCTTACTGATGGTATTATCTATGTTGATGCCCACAGAAAATTCATGTTTCCAATTGATATTAATCCTAGTTGACTGTACTAGTGTATCATTTACTCAAACTATTTGCTACATATTGATCCATATTACGATGTTTAATGATATAGATGACAGCTTCCTGACTGAACCCTTTAAATAACTATTGCTATGTTGAAATTCGCATGTACATGAAAGCATACAGAGAGAGAGAGAAGAGCAACGACAGAGTCGTAATGAGATGTTGGTTTTCTCCGATTCTAGTCGATGGGTTCCATTTCTGAGATGAGAGGAAGTTGGTTCAGTTTGGTTATCAATCTGTTTTTCTTTAAAATATGATCAGGATATGAGATGCTGCATCATTTCATTAATTGAAATCCATCTGTCGATGTCAGTGTAAAAAAACTATGTCATTCTGTCTGATTTTTTTATGTTGGTGTGATAAGAATGAGTAATGAATGTCCAATGAGTTCAATTTATTGAAAGTGAACAATGAAACGACCAGTTAAACAACCTCTATAATTGGATTTTATTGAATTGGACAAGAAATTATGCTTGCTTGTTATTTCATTTTAGTTGTAGGAAGTACTCTTTTTTAAGAATCTGTAATTTAAAGCTAACAAGTCATCTGATGTACTTAAAAATCTGTTATCAACAGTTATAAGAACCATATTCTATGAGGCTAATCTGTAAATTATTAGTATATGGTCGTGGAGACTGTTGAGTTTTGATTGAGATCATGAATTAATCAATGTTTGATCACCGTTGAAAACCTCACGTTTACGAGAGAGATCGAAGATCCTTGTTTCGAATCGAACATGCGGGATCACAGATGTTCACTATTGAGGAGTCTCATACTAAGACGAAATGGCCATCTAGTTTCTCAATTAGGGTCTAACATTTATTTGTTCGTGATCTTAATCAAAAGTCTGTGAATGTTAAGCTTTATCGTCAAGGCATATCTACATAAATCTACCAATTCATCAGCTGTTGTGTAACAAGATAAACAGGCCATAACTAGAGATTATTTACAGCGGTGATTTGACAATTTACTAAATTATTTTTCTACAAAGGTGATAGGAGAGAAATTAAGGGTTTCCACCATTGGACAACTAATCAATCTTGATCACTCTAGTGATTAACACAATGATGATAAGCTTCTTTATAGAATTCATCCAAGTCCACCTGTATCTCAGAGTATGCACATTTATCAAAAGAGACTTATTTACTTAGTTACTTACTTACTTACCTACGCCTGTTACTCCTCGTGAAAGAGCATAGGCCGCTCACCAGCATTCTCCATCCAACCCTGTCCTGGGCAATCCTCTCCAGCTCCTTCTAGTTGTTATTCATCCTTTTCATATATGCTCCTATTATCCGACGTAATGTGTTCTTTGGCCTTCCACTTTTCCGCTTCCCTTCAGGATACCAAGTTAGGGCTTGTCTCATGATGCAGTTTGATGATTTGCTTAATGTATGTCCTATCCATTTCAATCGTCTCTTCCTAATTTCCTCTTCAGCTGGAAGCTGGTTTGTTCTCTCCCACAAAAGGCTGTTGCTGATGGCATCCGGCCAATGGACGTTGAGTAAATTGCGTAGACAGCTATTTATAAATACTTATACCTTCTTGATGGTGGTTTTTGTATTTCTCCAAGTTTCAGCTTCGTACAGTAGAACTACCTTGACATTCGAATTGAAGATTCTCACTTTGATATTGGTTGAAATTTGTTTTGAGTTCCATATGTTCTTCAATTGAAGGAAGCCGACCATTGCTTTGCAAATCCTCGCCTTTACGTCTGCATCTGAACCTTCTTGTTCATCGATGATGCTTCCCAGGTATGTGAAGGATTCTACATCTTCCAGAGTTTCGCCATCAAGAGTGATTGGATTGCTGTTATCCGCTTTGAATTTGAGGACCTTGGTTTTCCCTTTGTGTATGCTGAGGCCTACTGGTGCGGAGACTGCTGCTACACTGGCTGTCTTTATCTGCATTTGTTCGTGTGTATGAGATAGGGGGGCTAGGTGATCTGCGAAGTCCAAATCGTCCAATTGATTCTGAGCTGTCCATTGTATTCCGTGTTTTCCTTCAGATGTCGAGGTCTTCATAATCCAGTCGACCACCAGAAGAAAGAGGAAGGGAGAGAGTATACAGCCTTGTCTTACTCCAGTCCTTACTTGGAATGCATCTGTCAGCTGTCCTCCATGCACGATCTTGCACTGTAGTCCGTCGTATGAGTTCCGGATAATCTTGACAATCTTCTGAGGAACTCCGTAGTGTCAAAAATATTTCCATAACGTTCTCCTGTCTACACTGTCAAATGCCTTCTCATAATCAATGAAGTTGATGTATAGTGACGAGTTTCACTCAACTGATTGTTCAACGACGATCCGTAGTGTTGCAATTTGGTCTGTGCACGATCGATCCTTACGGAATTCAGCTTGTTGATCTCGAAGTTTGTCGTCTACTGCATCTTTCATCCGGTTCAGCAACACTCTGTTAGAGAATTTCCCTGGTACTGACAGTAGTGTCATAAATCTGATTTTCGCATTTGCTCAGATCTCCTTTCTTTGGAATCTTGATGAGGTGGCCTTTTTTCCATTTCATCGGCATTTGTTCATCCTCCCAAATCTTCCTGAATAGAAGGTGAGGCGTTTTTGTAGTTAATTCGATGTCTGACTTCAGTGCTCCAGCTAGTATGTTGTCGGGTCGTGTTGTTATCCCGTTCTTGATTTGTCTGATGGCCATTCTGATTTCTTTCTTCGTTGGTGGGTTGATGTCTATGGGAAGATCTGTGTGTGCTGCTTCGATGTCCACAACTAGGTGATGATCCAAAGCTATGTCACCTCCTCTCCTGGTTCTTACATCTTCTATTGTCCTTCGGAAATTTAATTGATGCAAATATGATCTTTCTGGTTCTCTGTGGGGTGATTCGGTGAAATCCATGTAGCCTTGTGTATACGCTTGTGTGGAAATATTGTGCCTCCTATGACCAACTTGTTGAATGCACACAGATTTGCAAATCGTTCCCCACTTTCGTTTTTCTCTCCCAGTCCATGTCGTCCCATGATATCTTCATATTCGGTGTTGTCTATTTCGACTTTGACGTTTAGATCTCCCATCAGAATGATGAGGTCCTTTCTTGGGAACTTCTCTATGCTTGATTGCAACCTCGCATAGAATTGATCTTTAATGTCGTCGTTGCTATCATTGGTGGGTGCATAACATTGGATAATATTCTTTAAGATCCCCTCCTTCTTTGTTTTGAATGATGCTTTGATGATTCTGGATCCGTGAGATTCCCATCCTACAAGTGCATTTCGTGCTACTTTGGACAGCATACGAGCGTTTCCCTGAGTGTGTGGAGCATTTTCCTCTTCGTGACCGGGGTATAGCAGCATCTCTCCCGTAGCTAGCCTTTCTGTCCAGCTTGGATTCAGTGGGTTTCGCTGATTCCCAGTACTGCCAAGTTGTATCTCCTCATTTCTGTTGCTATTTGACTGGACTTCCCGGTCTCTCACATTGTTCGGAGGTTCCATGTACCTATAAAAATTTTTGCTCTGGTTATGAGAACGGGCATCGGCCTCGTGGCTTTCGAAGGGCAGAGTTAACATGATTTGAATTATTTTTCCGGTAAGCGTTTTTTAGCGAGTTAGTTTTCTACGGATGGGGATGCTAACCCCATGCCCAACCCTCCTCCTTTATCCGGGCTTGGGACTGGCAGTAACTCTAGAAGAGCTACAGGCAGATTACCAATAAGAGAGATGATGATCAATTAAGGTCGTAAATATCAACTGGAAGATTCAAGTAAAACTATAACAAGTGAATTAAAACTTCACCTCATTGTACAAGCAACTGACTATCAGAACTCAGTAGATAAGTGGATAACGCGATAATGTTTGAAGCGAACGATACTGAGTTTAATTAACGGGTTGAACATCAACTCTGAGATGGAGGTACGTCCAGATGACCAGTCCTGAATAGAACAAAACGCGCGTCCTAGATTCCAGTACTAGCCACTATACATCTTTTCTTAAATATTGTCTATTCTATTTATAAACTGTACTCTTATTCTTAACAAAGTGTGCCGCAGCATATATGAATGAACATATTTCGTCTACACCATAATATTCATTCTCATTTACAGTCTGGTTGTATGGCGTTAGCATTAGGAATTTGGTATATGCAATTATATGTTCTTCTAAAAATTGCAGCTTTTGGAATTAGTCTGGTGTTATTCATATGTGCAGTGTTGATTGGTGCAGCGATTAAAACAAATTTGGCGGACCAAATAAAAAGTATTCTAATATCTATTACATCGATATTTATTACGTTTATATTAGCTGCAATTGCATTGGTCTTTTCAGGAATCAAGGTATCCTAATTATTCGATGCATAAATTACGTATTTGTGGTTGAATCTAGTTTTCTTTTAAACGAAAAACTGAACACACTCATAATCCATATCAGAAGAGTTTTTAGCGAGACCATGATTTGTGAACGACCTTTGAACGAATCTTAAGTGGTCTTGACAAATATTAGCCAATCAGCAAACACAAAGTATAGGTTGAAAATATATTATACAAAACCAAAGAAATAAAGTGGATACACTTCTTATACGTGGTTGGAAAAATGTTCAGAGGTTCTAAAATCGCAATGCATGCAGTAGAGGGAATCATTCATATAGCTTCATAACATTCGGCCTCTGGAGCCATAATAAGGTCTCAAAAAGTCTATCAACCTCGGCCGCACAGCTTCAATATTGTTTGTGTGAACTCCGATTGTTGGCTACACAAAATGCCACTTGTGAATGACGACACGATGCACGTAACTAAGCATATGTAGGAGTCTGTATGTCTTCAATCATCCACATGTATTGTGCTACCTGGCCGCATCCAGTGTTCCTGGTGTCTTTATTATCCAGTTCTCAATAATTGTCATAATTTGCCTCAGTTAGTAATTATATATAAAGGTTTTTCATCACGAACTGACACCAGCCATAATGTCAGAAACCTGTTTAGCCAAATGCATGGAAGACTTTTGCGCGAAATTCCGAGATCTGTTTTCCTATACCTGATTGATTTGTCCAGAAATTATAGTCTAGCTGTTTTATTTGATACAGCCCCTCATTTATAACGTTTTTCACAAAATTCCTTGTAAACTGATAGTATGTTAGCATTAAGCACTGAATTTAGCGCCGTGACTTTGAAATCTCTCGAACACTTCTGATTACCTCGCCCATAAATTAAAGTCTCGCCGAGGTTTTGGGGATATTATACTAAGTTTAAGGATTGAGATCATGAGCTAGGCCACCATGGAAAACGTGGAAGCACTGGACTCACTGGAGACAATGGTGGATGTATCGCTCAATTTCGTGGATTGTTTGAAGTTAAACATTAACACCACTGTATGCCGGCTGATTTAATAATCTAGTGGGTTCTGGGTTCGAATCGTGCGATGCGGGAACTTGAATGCGCACTGCTGAGTAGTCTCACAATATTTATAATCATTGATTGATTCAATGGGACTATTAAAACATATACCATTAGTCAGTTAATTCATAACCGACTACTAAACTTCAATGAACTTTAGCAATCAAACTGTGAGTAAAATCGTATGTTAGGAATATTTAATTAACCATACTTCCTGCAACATGTTTTCAATGGGATGGGGCTGCCGATCCCGTACTCAAGCCTCTTTCTTTATCCGGGCTGAGACCGGAAGTAACTCTGGAAGAGCTACAAGTGGAGTCGTGTTTCTCCACGAGGAGTAACAGGTGTAAGTAAGTAAGTAAATGAGTAAGTATACTTCGTGCATCAAATTATTACTTGGACAAATAAACACAGGAAGTATGTGTTTGAATTAACTTGTAGATATTCCAGCTATATATTAGAAATGTTGATTATTTAAAAACATTTTCGAACATTTCTGTAGTTCTGTAATGGACGAGAGCATCATTGGTGACAATTGAATGTATTTAAACACTAAATCACTAGTCAGTTCTTCGAATCTCACATGCGGATTTTCCTTGTATAATGTTGAGTAATCCCATACTGAGATGAAACGTCGGTCCAGTAATCCCAGGTTTTCAAATGGTAGTCTAGCTAAGATCAACTCGTCAACTCAACATTGAAAATTTGTTAATTAGTCTAATGTAAATTTCGCTAATAGTTTAATTTTGTTTTGTAGGTAATAGCTCTGGCTTTCTATATAGCTGCAGTAACATTTTCATTCATTGTAAGTTACATTTATTTATAGTTGATATAGTTATGTATAATTGGCTTATAGGAAACATAATCTATTCATCTTTCGTATTTCTGTAGTGCATGTAAATTGTATATGTCAGTCAGTTAGTCAGTCAGTCAGTAACGACGTCGAACTTTGTACCTACGTATATCAGTTCGAATTGCCATGTTGCTAAGTAATGACGTTTTTTCACGGACCCATCAATGTTAGACCACCATTGAAAACCTGTATGCACTGTATCAAAATCACAATCAAATATTGGTAATTATCATGTGCTCACTTGCAACTATCTTCGAGAGGTGATTCTTGGAGCTCTAGTGAGAAACTATGATCAATGTAGTTCAACGGTATCGAATTTGACGCAGTTACCCGCCAAAGAAAATCGAAGACGGTCGCGCAATTTGGTGGGTTGGTTGAAATTCAACGTAGTTGGATGCCAGCTGAATGGCCTGGGGGTTAAGTGTTCGCCCGTGAGGTTGAAGGCACTTAGTTTGAGTCCCGCATACGGGATCGTCGATGCGCACTACTGAGAAGTCCCATGCTATGACGAGACTACCGTCTTGTGCTTCTAGGTTTCCAATGGTGGCCAAACATCGATTGATTCGTGATATCAATTATAGCTCGACAAACTCTGTAACTCTGCAATGATAAATTTAAAAATTGTTAAAATTACAGAACAATGCAAAAGTTATTATCCACAGCGTTACTGACGTTCAAAAGTGTGTATATTGCTGTAGAAATTTCGAGGAGAAGGAATGAAATGTATTCCATATATATTGTCAACTCTGTCATAGACAATTATTTGCAGTTCTTTCCGGTTGTTATTCATCCATTTCATGTCTACTTGCAATTTCCAACGCAATGTGTACCTTCGTTTACCTCGCTTACTTTTCCAACTTACCTTTGTTTTGTGATTCAGTTTGATGATTTCCGAAATGTACGTCTATCCACTTCTAACATTTTTTTGTTAATTTCATATTCAGCTGGAAGTTAGTTTGTCTTCTCCGAAAGTAGGCGGCTTTTGCTGATGGTATTCGGCCAACGGATATCGAGTATCTAGTGTAGACAATCGTTTATAAATATTCGTACTTTTTTGATAATGGTTGTGGTAGTTCTATTCGTTTCAGCTCCATACAGTGAAAATATCTTAAGTATGAGTTTTGAGGATAAAATATCTATTATTTGAATTAAGAAAAGTGTTTCGATGTACTGTCCTCGTACAAGCCTTAGGCTGTGGACCTTGTAACGTATTTTACACATAGTGATATTGTTCAATCATCTGACTGTTGAAAAATCATAATATCTATTACTATATCCAAATTTAATAATGTAATACATTCAAATCTTTAGATAAACGAATACTTGTAATTTCATAAACCAAGATGGATAGTGGCTAGCAGTGGAATACAGTTTGGTGCGCGTTTTGTCATATTTGAGACCCATCAACTAGATGTATCTGAATCTCAGAATTGATGTTCATTCTGTGACTCGAATACCAGTACCATTCGTTTCAAACACCATCACGTTTTCTACTTAGCTACTGAGTTCTGATAGCCAGTTGTGGTAAGTCGTGTAGGTTGAACTTTATATACGAATCCTAAGCTATTCCGTAACCCGCAAACTAGAACTACACAGCGACTTGAACTCCAGAAAGAAGACACAAGCATGAGAGAAAACACTTTATCCCAAGGTTCATTCTAGCACAGAAAATCAAGGGTATTTATATTTCAGCCAATCCGTTAACGTCATATTATGCTACCGACCAATGGTAGCACGCCACTCTGCAATCCTCGAACGTTCCATTATACTCTGATTGAGTAGGGCCCTTCGGCTCCTTTCTGGGCCTCTGGAGGCTCCGTTGAAGTTCTCCGGAAGCCGACCCAACAAGTTGCTTGTACAATGGGGTAAAGTTTAAATTCATCTGGTATTGCTTACTTGATCTTCCCATAGATTTACATATGTCGATTAGAATCTGGTCAATTGTAGCCGTAAACATCAATCGAAAGATCCAAGTAAACAATATCAAAAGAATTCAAACTTCAACCTATTTCACAAGCAACTGGCAATCATGACTCTGTAGCTAAGTTGATAACACGATGAGCTTTGAAGTGAATACTACTGGGTTCGAGTCACAGAATGAACATGAACTCGGAGATTCAGCACATGCAGTTGACGAGTCCCAAATGGAACAAAAACGAGAGTCCTGGATTCCGTCACTAATCACTATCCATCTGTGCTTATAATGCATGTGACCTAAGACAATATCGAGGCACTCTTCACACAATGGACATATGTTAATAAGAGAGAGAATGATCAATTACAGTAGGAAACATCAATAGAAAAATTCAAGTAAACAATACGAAGTAAACTTTACTCATAAATTCAGTTGAGAAACTCTATTAACTTCATTCCCGGTAATATTTCCTTCATAAAGCAACACAAGAAGTATCATCCAATTGCGTTTACTAAAACGGAGTTTCAGTAGACTCGTCTATTTATGCATCCATTATCAAAATAAGAAATCTAGACTTATTAGTGTTTAAAACAGTTAAATTCTTGAGTGAATCTAAACTAGATCACCATTGAAAACATGAACGCGATAAATAGCCATTTCACCCTATTATAATACTCTTCAGTAGTACTCATCCATAATCCCAAACACGGACTGGTTCCCAGGACCTTCCATCTTACATACAAATGTTTAACCTTTAGACGACTGATCTAACACAATCATAAATGTGTACAGTTGAAGATTTCAATATTATGATGAAACGACCATCTACTGCTTTTAGGATTTCAATGATGCATCTAATTCAGATCAACTCATCAATTCAACTACCCAAATTACTATCATCTTCATACTGATCCATGTTTCTTTTATTTTACAGATCACAATATTTGTCAGTTATATAACTATTGGCAAATTAAGATGTCTTATCTTTTATCCAAATTATTCATTAGCATCTATATTATTATATACTGTATTCTTTAATACCTTAGCAATTATGATTGATGTAATTAATATTTGCTCTCGACTACTATTTAATTTTCCATTTTAAATCAATAAGAGAAAATAACAATAAAACAAAAAACAAAAAAAGAGAAAAACAACGAAAAAAAGAGAAACTATTCGTCAGTTTGTTTGTTACATTGTTACATTGAACTTTCTTTTTCCAAACCTTTTAGATGAATGAAATTGATTTAGTAGTTGAAGATTTCTTGCAAATTAATTTTCAATTTCTATTAAGATTGTAAATGTTTAGTATCAAATTAAAGTAGTATGTGACTCGGAGTAGTATACATATACATAATCTCGTATGTGAGACTAGAATCAAAAACTTTTGGACTCGCAGACAGACGCTTAAACTGTAGATCATCGATACGGTATACAATGGTGTTAGTGTTTAACTTTAATTAATTCACGATATTACACGACCGTTCACTATTGTCGCCGGTGAGTACCTGCCCTGAAAACAAACATGGTTGAATTCCACTGGCCACATGTTTTCAGTTATTTATTTATTTCAACACATACATATTAGTACAATGGAGAACCAAATACACAGGGGCCTCACAAATCAGTTGATTTGTGTGTAGACTGTGATACTGTCCAACTTTCCAGACCGTAGCAAGTATTTTTCTTGGGAGGAAACACCTGGGGTTTTCGACCTAAAGATCTAATCTACATGGCGATGGAGCAACGATTGATTCCTACATCACTCGTTTGCTAAGAATCTTGGAATGAGAATTTTTCAACCTCCCTAGCTAGAATCTCCGTGTTCGCTAACTCGGGTAAATCGCCGGATATTCGCTTTTCATCCTCCAAATTTCGAAAATAACACCCCTGCCACGAGAAGGCAGAGAGTACAGCTTCTCTGACAAGGCTGTATGCGCGTGGCCATATGAGAGCATCCGGAGAGGGTAAGCTGACTCTCTACACCCCCAGCCGTACCAGGGAATTCGGGGACAAGTTCCCACTAGAAATCCAGGAAATACCCCATGAAAATCAGTCACTAATTAATGACTATATTATAAACTTATGAAATTTTGCCTAATCTAAGATGAGTTATAACATCATTGGAATAACATTAAAACGTATTTAATCAAAGATTAATCATTTGAAATAGATACATTTCAAGTGACCAGCGGAGTCAGAAAGAGCTGCTTACTCTTTATCCTTATCTTTTTTCTGGTGTTCGACTGGATTATGAAGACATCGACATTTGAGAAGAAAGGCGTGAAATACAATGGTCAACTCCGAACCGATTAGAAGATCTGGATTTTGTAATTAACTGACTCTCTATCCCATACACATCAACAGATGCCGATAAAGACAACAAGTATATCAGCAGTCTTTGTATCAGTAGGCATCAACATAGACAAGGAAAAAAGCAAGATCCTCAAATACAGCACTGAGAACACCAACGTAATCACACTTAGTGAAGAAACTCTGGAAGACGTGGAAACATTTATGTATCTCGCTGGCATCACTGATAAGCGTGAAGGATGTAATGCAGATACAAAGGCAAGGATTAGCAAAACAATAGCAGCATTTCCACAGTTGAAGAACATATGGTACCAAAAATAACTGTTTGCCAGCCAATATCAGAGTGAGAATACGGGCGTTAAGATAGTTCTACCGTACGGAGCTTAAACTTAGAGAACTACCACAACCATTATCAAAAACGTACAGGTATTTATAAACAACTCTCTACACAATAGGCTCAATATCCGTTGACCGGATACTACAGCAACAGCCGCCTACTGTGGGAGAGAACAAACCAGCTACCAGCTGAAGAGGAAATTAAGAAAACACGTCGGAAGTGGATAGGATACACAATGGGAAAATCATCAAACTGATTCATGAGGCAAGCACTAACTTGGAATCCTTAAGAGAAAATGCGAATAGTAAGGCCAAAGTACACACCACGTTAGGTAATCAGCATCAGACATGAAAAGATTAATAGTGACTGGAAACAACAAGAAAGAACAGCTTGGGACAAAATTAGATGGAGAATGCTGTTGAGCGACCTATTCTCCTTTAAGATGGGTAAAAGGTGTTATGTGATAAGAAAGAATAATCAAATGTCTATATTTTAAAATAGATAAGATGTAACTCAGAGGTTCACATTCATATTACTCAGATACAGAACATAGAAAAATACCTTTGAGCTTTAACAATTTCCAATTATAAACAATGATTATTCTACTTAATGGAAATATTGAACATGATCTTTGTTCACAGTTCATAAATGTTTTTGTTACGATCAACAAGTAGCAAGCGTTAAACTGTTTATTGGTCATAGTTTGTGAATTCATTGTTGTCAAAAGTAAATGTTATATCCTGATGAGGAAAGTGGATAGTAAATTTTGGGATCCATTTATGGATCAATACAATACATACATTTTTATTGTATAATTGTTGGGTGACTAGATTATGTATATTCATGTTCCTCTTACTATGAATTCTTCTGGAGCCCCTCTGGAGCTACTGCCGGTCCGAAGTTCGGATAAGGGAGGAGGGTTGGGTATGGAGTTAGCGACCCCATCCTGTAGGAAACTTAATCGCTAAAAAACTCTAACCAGAAAAAATAATTCAAACCATTTAAACTCTGCCCTGGGAGTTAGAAAATGTTCATGTAGAAGAGTTAAGATGTCTCATGATGAAAGCTGAATTCTTTCGGAAGTCACGAGACTGATGCTTGTTCTGAAAACCAAAGCAACCATTGATTTAGGCACATGTTATTCTCATACAGTATGAGAGTCATTGTCATAAGCTTTATTTTGACCTACGATTTATTATTATACCATTTACCATTCTCGAGTTATGCCCTGTCAATTAATTACAGTCTACCACATTCACAGCCACTTTCGGCTAAATCTTGTACGAATGCTGTTTCCTATTATATGGCACGATGTGGTCTGTTCGGTTTGTATACAAACTCTGTATATTTGAACTACATGATTAATATCACGAAGGTTGGGATTTGTGTTCTGGAATTAACAGACAGGCAGAGCCAGGCAGAAAGCAGGACCCATAAGTACTCTAGACTGCTCGTACCGGTTTATGCGTCATTGGTACCGTCGATAATTCACTATTTTTAATTGACGGTTTCATAACGTTATACATTAATGGAAGCACAATTCCATGAATTATAACAGTACATTCATTATCATGAGTATAAAGCCCATCTAGCTGTTCTTATGATATACATGTTTCCACTTTCTTTATGTATAATTTGATATATACAATTGAAAGTGACATATAATGAATCAATGTTTCACCTTAAGCATGACACATGTTGTATGCTCTGTAGTTACTGCTTGTTGCGAAATTTAAAAAATTTTAAGCAAAGATATTGGCTAGTAGTGAAACCCGGGTTGAAGCGTATTTTCTCCGATCTGGGACTCATTAACTGAATGTATCTCAATCCCAGAGTTGATGTTCATTCTGTGACTCGAATATCAGTATCGTTCGTTTCAAACTCCATTGCGTTAACCCTTAGCTACTGAGTGTTGATAGCCAATTGCTTATGCATTCGGGTGAAGTTTAAATTCAATTGGTGTTGTTTCGTTTGCATATTTATACGTACTGATTCGAGTTAAGGAGTGAATAGCAACTCTAAGATGCAGGTACATCCAGCCGAACAGTCTCAAGTGGGACGAAACACGCGTCAAACCGAGTTCCACTACTAGCCACTATTCAGTTTTGCCCAAGTAGCTTGTGACTTAAGGCTCTATCGAGGATGCACATAGTCCAACAAGAGACTGATCAATTACAGTCCTAAAACAATAATGAGGATATACCAGTTAAACAACACTAAGGGAATCTATGGAAAGAATAGTTTCATAATAAGTTTAGTCTTTCAAATAACACGTTTCCTTTTGAACTCCTAACTTAATGAAATTCACGTAAATTATGTAGATCAAGTATAAGAAAAATAAAAGGGTACAGAATAATCGTACCTATCCTCTGTTACTAACGATAATAGTAAACCATAGTACTACATAACAGAAACAACACATGATGTTTGCGAATACTGACGATCGTATTGTCTGATATCCCACTTGATCCTAAGTCATCATCGTCGTCCATCATCTTTGTATTTATCCCTTATAACATTTTGAACAATATCCAGATGCTGGGATTGCGTCGAGTGACATTTTATGAAGTCTACTCTTTTCAAAATCCTCGTCTGCCATGTCGTATCTCATCCTGTAGTTCATATAGGTATTTGTTACAATGAACAAACTAAACCAACAGTTGAGATTACGAGGAATATGCAGATATTACACAATGCTCTGTGAATGTTTTCCACTTCTTGTTCAAACAAATGGCATAAGATGCAACCATTCTTCCCAGTACCATTAAAGAACGTAATTGTAACATGGGTACATTACATAGTAATATTAAAAAGATTAGATCAAATTTCTACGATGGTTTCAAACTTGAAGAGAATCAAATTCATGCCATGTACAGTCTCACTATATTTAAAACCAATAATCATATGTACGTCAATGACATTTTAGGTCAGTTCAAGAAAGTTCTGTTGGTGTACTGTACTACAATAACCAGTGACTTATGCTTCACTGACAAAGACGGAAGCAGAAGTACAGTGTTTATACAAAAAGTGATACCGCATTTTACCGTTGATGTATTCGCACAACAGAAGTTTATGTCGAGTAGAAGTAATAGAGTTGATGTCTCAAGTGTTACTAATTAGAACTGTCCAATACGCACACTTGTAGACGTTTTGCTATTACCGACAGTTTATAAGCTTCTGTTTGAGTTCTGAAATGAAAGTTTATTCCAAAAATAATCGTTAACCACATTTTGGTGTAATCCTGACAGAAGATTTGTATTTCATACAGACACAATATCAGAAATTCTAGGTGTTTATTTCACTACTAAGATGATTCGACATATATGAGATGTTTACTACAGGTTACGTAAAGCGCAGTTTCATGACTGAATTACATAAAGTGTAAGTGCTCAGAGTGCTCAGGGATAAAGTCAGTCATTCGTTAGACCTTGAAAACCTGTATACATAGTTAGTCGCTCATGTTTGTGGAACGTGTGATGATGTCACGAGAACATTTGTGTAATGATTTCTCTCTCAGTACCTCAGTATTGTGGTCTCATTTATAGTTTGCATGTAATAACCGCTTGTTATATTTGATCGATAGTTTGGCATATTGATCCTGCTGACCTTCTTTAAGTACACTGAAGTTCAGCAAATGTTTTATTCATAAATGTACCATAATTAGATGAAAAGAACGTTTTAGGGCACATGATGTCGAAGTATTTTTTCTGTTTGTACACTGAACTTACCTGCATCACAGAGTTAATGTTGCGCACAATATGCATATATGCCAATAATAGAGAAACGAATCAATTACAGTCCCAAACAACAATGGAAAGATTCAAGTAAACAGTGACAAGTGAATCGAAATTTCACCTCGTTGTACTAGCTAGTGACTATCAGGACTCAGTGTGTAAGAGGATAATGCGATGGCGTTTGAAGTGAACGGTAGTAGACTGTAGAATCCAAACCACGGTTTGGACTGCTGAATAGCCTTCTAGGTACGTTAGACACGCGCCCTTTCCCGTCAATATCAAAACAAGTAATCGAGTAAATAGTGGTCAATAATTCATAAATTTAAATGTAAATCGTTACCTCAACAAATATAACCACCCGGCTATTCAACCAATAATTGTTCAATCAATCAAATCTAAATTACAATAAATAAAGAAGTCGATAAAAGATGCGGAAAAATTACCAGCCACAGCAAATGAACGCTATTCTATCTTGACTGGATAGAACACACACAAAAGGAGGAGCAAATCAATATGGCTGCCGCCATTAACAAGTGTCAAGTAAAACAACATCGATGCAGTTCGGAAAGAAACATGAAAACTTAGTGAAGGCGTAATAAAAATAAAAACTATGGTAAAAAAATACAAATATTAACAAGTCAAATGTAATCAAAAAACTAACAATGTACAACTAAGGGGATCAGTAGGAACAAAGTGCAAGTATATACATGGAGGGATTTTCACACACGCACACACACACCAAACATTCAAAACGGATCTTACACAGATTTGAGTCCCAGAGCGAACATCAACTCTAAGATTTAAGAACATCCGGTTGACGAGTTCCAAATAGGATGAAAAGCATGTCCTGGGTTCTACCACTAGCTACTATCCATCTTTACTCATAATCCCTGTAACTTAAGGCAATATAGGGGTAAATCGTACAGGATATACATATGCCAATAAGAGAGAAACTGATCCATCACAGTCCGAAACATCAATGAGAAGATTCAAGTAAACATCACTATCAAGTGTATTTAATACAATCTACTTCATTGCTGCCTTAGTTCAAAAAATAATATATTCATATAGAATATAGCTGTTTACTAATAAAAACTAAAACTTCAATTATTTGTTCATATTAGTATTTTAATACTTAAATTTATGAGTCGATTGAAGCTAGAACACCATGGAAAACCTGGAACCACTGAACGGCCGTTTCCATCTAGTATGGGACTCCCGAGCCGTGCACATCCACGATAATGCGTCAGTCTCCAATAGGTATTTCCTGAAATCCTAGTGAGAGGTTGTGACCAGTGGAGTTCAACCAGGTCTGTTGTGAGATAGTAACTCACTGAAGCGAAAGGTGGATGTGTCGTTCGATTTCGTGGATTAGTTGGAGTTAAATATTAACACCGTTGAATTCCGGTGTTCGAAACTGATACGTCCTGGGTTCGAATCTCGTGAGGCAGAATCGTAGATGCTCATTGCCAAGGAGGAATCCCACACTAGGACTTAACGATAATCTAGTGCTTTTGGGTTTTCCCTAATGATCTGGCTTCAATTGTCTCACAAATTCAACCATTAAATTACATATCAAACTTGTTACGAATAATGAATACACTTTAGTCAGTCTAATCAAGACTTCTTTTATTATTACTGTATTGATAGTAAAGTTCTTTTAGACAAGTCAGTATTTATTACATATTGGTTAGTAATAAATAACTGATCTTTACACTTTGAGATTATTAAAACAAAATATGTGACTGAACATTGAATCACTTAAAACAAACGGAACTTATTATTTTATAGTAAGGAGATAATTGAATATAAACAAATAAGTGAGTCTATTTAATAACATCCAGTTGATGTTGTTTTACTTGTATATTCTCATTACTGTTTTAGGACTGTAATTGATCAGTCTCTTGTTGGCATACGTGCAATCTGTGAGGATTGCATCGATATTGCCTTAAGTCACAAGCTTTATAAAAAACGATGGATAGCGACTAGTAAAGGAATCCAGTTTGACGCGTGTTTTGTCATATTTGGACTCGTCACCTGGATGCACCTGAATCTGAGTTGGTGTTCACTCTGGGACTCGAATCAAGTAGTGTCCGATACAAACACCTTCTCGTTATTTGCTTAGCTACTGAGTCCTAATAGTCAACAGCTTGTGCGATGGGGAAAGTTTAAATTCAGTTGCTTCTGTTTTACTTGTATCCTCCATTGTTATTTAAGACTGCTATTGATCAGTCTCTTGTTTACCAATCTTTGATTTATATTTACTATAAAAGATATAACATTTCAATTAATTCTGAATGACCATGTATACGAAATTTTAACTGTTATTACAATTACAACAGTCTCTATACAACCTCATTCATATTTTAATTATCACATGCTTACTAGTGAAAAAAGTGTAATTAAAAATTTTTATATCTAGAACCTCAGTCAGTTAGCTGCAACGTTGGACCGGGCACATATATATTCATCGGCCCCAGAGTTTGTACATCTACGCCATTGTGATCGATTCTGAGCCATATATCACCTATAGTCTGCAATCATTGGTTACGATAATCACATAGACCTCAACCAAGTTGTCTGCATATACCGACATGACTCAAATTAGAAGTTAATGACTTCAAGGTTTGATGCCACGTTTTGGTTTGGCCTCCGCTAAATCTCTCTCAACTATCTCCAACACTAGTCAGCATTGTGCGCCGTGGTAATCGGTGTTTAGGCATAAATTAAACGTGGCCCAGCCACCTCAGTCAGTGGAGATTCACAATATCATCAACTGATTGACCATCATTTCTTAATAACTAGTGTCTTACCTCATTATTACTTACCCAGCAGATGCGAGCAATATTTATGAGACATCTGTGGTCAATTACTAGTAGCTTGCGAATATATCCTGCTCTTAATGCTCACGTTTCACAGACAAAAATAAGAACAAAACGAACTGTTGCACAGTATACTCGTCCCTTAATTGAGAGACGAATATCTCGTCTTCGCCCTATGTTGCGTAAGTTGGCAAAAGCCAAATGAGATTTCTAAGTCCATGCAGAGATTTCGTCAGACACCAATTCATTTCGGCTGACCAGACTTCCAAGTAAAGTGGTTGATGCGTTCGACTTCTTCACTCCTTATCCTTAGTTCAGGTGTTGATTTTGACCAGTCCGGAAGCAACAACTTGCATTTAGAGGGAGAGAAAAGCATCCAAAACATCCTTGCATTGTTTCTGAGTGCTACCAAAAGACTGTAAAAGACTCTTACACTAATTATCATATGCTCACTAGTGACTAGTTTCAAGATACATTTCATGGTGTTCTAGTGAGAATCCATGACCATTGGAGTCCAATCCACTTATGGAGGGTGTGAGACAGTCATCCACCTCAGACAATAGATGAAGAGTTGGGAAAGATCATTGATCGATCGAAGTCAGATATTAACACTGTTTGATAGCGGCTCTATGGTCTAAATGTCAAATGTTGACGCGCAATATCGTAAGTTCTGGATTGAAGTTCCACATGTGTGGTCGTGGATACGCACAGCTGAGAAATCTCGTACTAGTACAAAACGGTCATCTATTTCTTCCAGGATTCCAATAATGGTTTAAGGATATTCTTCAAAATTATTATTATTATTACTATCATTTCATTTAAAAGTAATTGCCAGTTAAAAGAACACCCCAAATTCTATACTCATAACCACTGTTCCACACAAAATAATCCCACAACTAACCACATATATTTAACCATTATCTTTATTATAGAGAATTCTAACAGAAATAGACGGTTATTCCTTGAACTATTCTATAACGATGGATACTTCAACAAATGAACTGATCAATATACTGAAATATGATCATTTATTGATTATATCAACATATACAAGAACAGTATGTGATTTATTTTCATTTATAAACGGTTTATATTACAGGTATTGATACTTGTTGCGGTACTAATAGGAGTTATGTTACTTGTCATAGTCATATCATGGCAATTGTAAGCAACTTGTTGAATAATAATATCAATCTTTCAGAACACTATTAATGACAACGTTCGCTACATACTACTCCATTTTTGTCAATATATTGTTGTATCTTGACTAGAATTCCTTTTATGTTGCATATAATCTTTTCATAACCTGGATCAAATACAAGTTATAAGCAGACATGTTAATATGGTGGAGAAGATTTGAAGATCATGTGGATGATTTTTATGAAGTTTTGGTCTTTTAGTTGGATAGTCATGAGGCGTTATCATTCTTCTAAATGACGTCAACATCAGCACAAACTTCGGATAGGAGTAAAGGGTTTGAATTTCTCCACACATGGTTCACAGCTTTTCTTGTGGACCTCGATGTTTATTGGTTCTTCTTAATCTTAAATCTGTCATTGTTTATTTTTTTATTTTGGTGGTATCTCCATCAGTTTAATTTGTGGTCCTACGTTTGTTCAAAGTTCTCCTGATTAGTTGATAAATTGGATCGACTCAAAGTTAACAAGAACCAATCAACATCGACCTCTACAGGTCTACAGCTGCGAACCAAATGCTGGGAAATTCGAACACTTCATTTCTACCTGAAGTTTGTGCTGATGATAATGTCCTATAGAGGACCAATGAAAGCCTCACAACAAAACCATCCACCTCAGAGAAAAAAACTATCAAAATCGTTAACAACTTAGGAAATGTGTGTAAGATTTGTGCTTTCATAACAATCAACATAGAGATGCTTATAAATTCAAATTGTTAAGATAAAGGTTATTCGTCATTTATTGTAATACAGACATCTATAACGTTGGAGAAAAATCATTGATAAATGTCGGATAATGGATAACAGTGGAAAACGATACTTAATAGGTACTAATAAATTTCATAGCTCATTATCTCAACTATTAAAATTACTATGATATCCACAAAACCCCTTCTGATATTAATCAGCATATGCTCACTAGTAACAGTCTACAAGAGATATTTCCTGAAGTCCTAGTGAGAAGCAGTGATCAAAGGAGTTCAGCCGGTTCTGTTGTGAGATAGTAACTCACTGAAAACAATGGTGGATGTGTCATTGAATTTCGTGGATTGGTTGAAGTTAGGCATTAACACCGTTGAATGCCGGTGGACTCAGTGGTGTAGAGGCGAAGTGTTCGTGCGCGAGACTGGTAGGTCCTGCATTCGAGTGCCGTGAGGCAGAATCATGGATGCGCTCTGCTGCGAAGACCCACGCTGAGACAAAACGGCCGTCCAATGATTACAGGGTTTTCATGGTGGTCTAACTCAAACTGACTCATGATCTTCACCATTGAAATTAATATAATATCCGCAAAACCCCTTATGATATTGTTTATTCTTGATGTGTTGTGTAGAGTTATCGCTTCGGTAATAGCATTGTTGATTGCTTTTGTTAAGAAGATATATGAGAAATATCCATTGAATGTCAGCCTTGCAATAATTTATGTAAGAAGTGTTATAAATCATTTTACGTATAGATTAATAATCTTTCATTAAATTTTCATTAATGAGATGAATTTATGTTGTCATTGTATGGTTGTGGAGGTTATTATGTTTAGAATGATAACATGGACCGACCACTGTTTAATCACCATTGAAAAATTGGAACCATTGGACAGCCGTTCTGGTCTTAGAATGGAACTCTCCAACAGTTCACATTCACGATCCCGCACGCGGGAATAGGACCCAGAACCTTCGGTTCCGCGCTAAAACGTCTAAATTTTAGACTTCTGAGCCTGTTTTCAGAGGTATTAACATCCAATTTCAACCAATCCAAGATATTGCGCGATCATCTGCCATTGTCTGAGTGGTTAATTGCCTCACATCTAACACTGTTGAACTCCACTATTTACATTCAATACTTTTACTTATATTTCCTTGAATAATCTTCAATCAAATTGCTAAGCAAAACTTTGAATTTACATCAGATTCATTCAATGAAATGTTACAAATACATTCTACCTCCTTAATAACTTACATTGATTTATTTTGTTTTCATTTAGTCAATATGCGTTGCTACAGCGATCGGGCTTTGGAATCTCGACGTACCTATTACTATTCAGCTTGTTGCTTTTGTAATTAATTGGACAATCTTTACATCCGCTTTATTAATTGGGGCATCAATGGAAACAAGTTTAATGGATTCTTTCAAAGTTCTATTGATAATCGTTTCAGTTATTTCAGCTTTAATCATTCCAGCTATGGTTATCGTCTATTTCTTTCAACAAAATGTATATTAATAAGTTACTTTTATTAGATTTACATTTTTTTTCGAGATCCTTGAATAAAGTTTTATGTCAAGAAAATCTGAAAAGGCTGACATTCACACTTGGTTGATCATTGGGTGGTGTTCATTGTCATGTATATCAGATCCTTCTGACTGCAGATCGAACGCTATCCACCAAGTTGCAATGTGGCCACTAGTCAAAGTGACTCGACATTGTATGCACTATGTTGAGATAAGATGGTGGTTGGAGTTAGTAAACAGGAAACCCTGAGCTCGGATTTCGTGCTATTTGGCACTCGCCAGTAAAGTGTACCTGTAATCTTGAGGGAACTGATGCTCCCTGATGGATTCGATCCTATGTCACTCAGCTTCAAAGTCAAAGACGTTACAAGTAGGTTATCCAGGCCGCGACTGACCTTCCGTAGAAGTGAGATGTATTTACAATTGATTGACAACTGGATTGTGGTCAGTTTCCAGGGTCCAGTGTTTCTTGTTGACTACCTACAACCACCATTATAATAACAATAGGAATGAAGGAACGATGAAGTTTATAAGAGACAGTTGATGGAAGACGTACAAATGAAGTACTTAATGTCTGGTTTTCATATTTTAGAATTGGTACTCAGTAATAAACTAGTTATCCTTACCAAATCTCCGTTCACTTCAATAGTACCGGAAGTTTTGTATGACATGCTTAAGTACTTGATCATTAAGATGGGCGAGAAAGATTTTGTTCATTTTTTTCAAAATAGATGACTCATCAGAAATAGTTTTAACGCATTATTAAATTCAACGGTTATTAGGTACTGATAAATCTTCTAATTAGACGCTTGAAGCAATTTCGTAAGCTCTCATGGGGGGGGTGTTGTTTAGGAAATTGAGAAGACGGTAATCGAATATCTGGCACCTCAACCGGGTTGGTGGATATGGAGGATTCACCTAATGGAGTTCGAAAACCCTCAATCCGAACCCATGGTGCACATGACATTCAGGATCCTGAAGGTATTAATGGCACATGAACCAGTCGTCGGTCACCGGCTACCACGGGACTGTATCTATTGGCGTTGCTCCTCTGGGGCCAACAGATACATATGCACCACACAAATCTCATTTGATTTTTATGAAGGCTGTGATACTGACCGGGTTCCCAAACCGAAACAGGTTGTTTCCTTTGAGCAGCCGCACCCAGAGCCCTCTACCCAAATGTCTGATCCACAAGGTATTGGAGCATCGCAACGAGATGCAGTCTCATGGTAGCCGGTGATCAACAAAAGGTTCATACGCTATTTGTTCCCTCCGGGTACTGCAGCCCATGTGAACCATTGGTTTGGAATCCCCCCTTGACCCCCTTCCGGACATTCGCTCTTCCACCTCTCAAATTCGCAAACAACAGTAACGCCACGAGAAGGCAGTGAGTAGGACTTCCTTGGCAGTGGTTGTATGCACGTGGCCATGAGAGAGCATTTCGAAAGAGAGAGCTGGCCGTACCAGGGCATTTGTGGGCCTTTAGATCAAAGGGTCCGGGTGTGGGCCCTAAGAAAACCACCTGCTTCGGCTTAAGCACACAGGAAGTATCACAGACCACACGCAAATCAAGTGACTTGTGTGGCACATATGTATTTGGTGCCCCTTTGCTCTACCATTGATGTGTTCCAATAAATAATAAATAAATAAGCTCTTCTCATAAGCCTAAGGCTAAATCTACACGACACAACTTGAACACGAAATAAAAGGCGACGAATATAGAAAGAACGCTTTACTTCAAGGTTAGTTTGTGCACAGAAAATTAAAGGTATTAATAGAAGTTCAGGTGACCTTAGACTTCTGGAAGGTTTTGCAGCCCAACTAAACGTATTATCAGGATAGGTAACTATTCATTCAGAAATGTGACACATGACTCTTCACTTTGTAGATGTTTCTGAGACATGTGTATGGAATGTTGATTGGACAAAATGTTTTCGAGAGTTGACAGGGCTCCTCTGAGCCTTTTCCAAAGAATATTCAGGATCTCTCCAACAAGTACACTGATAAATTATGCTATACATTCATGTTTGCCAATTGTTCAAATATTAATTTATTCTCACTTTTAATTTCTTTACAGGTAAAGGTAGTGATATTTCTGTTCATATGTACAGAAATATTATATTTATTGTAAGTTGAATACACTTACACTTCACTTATTTAAAGTAGAATTACTTTCTAGTAAATGTGATTTGTTTTATCATTCAGATTTCAGAAATTACACACTATCCAATCGGTACTTAAGACAGATCAATTAGGAGGTAAAACATTAGACAGATTTGAATCATTAGTCATTTTATTGTGTTTAAGACTACAATTGCTTAGTCTCTTATTGAAATTTGTACATGTTCACTCCGGCACTCAAACCCAGTCCTAACGAATAATTAGAAGATTCAAGTAAACAATACCAAGTGAATTTAAGCTTTACCTCACTGCACAAGCAAGTGGCTCTTAGCACTCAGTACCCATGCAGATAAAGTGATGGCGTTTGAACTGGATTGTACTGAGTTCAACCGCAAGAGTGAACATCACTTCTGAAATACAAATACATCCACTTGACAAGTTCCAAATAGGAACTAAACGAATGTCCTTGATTTCACTAATAACCACTATCTATCTTTGCTTTCAAGGCTTCTTGTTCAATCATTTCATATTTATATACGAAACTCTGGTCATCAGTGCCATCAGTTAGTTCACTTCATTCATGTAACCATTATAACATATAATATTAATTCTTTTTAATTTTATAGATGACAATATTTTACAGTCATTTCACTGTCGGAAAATCACGATATCGATTATTTTATCCAAATTATACTTTGGCAGCATTATTATTATATATTATGTTTTCAACAGCTTTACCAATCACTGATGATCTGGTTTATACCATAAGGAATAATTGGAATTTAACAAATTCAACTGGATTTTCACTTTATAATGATACAATCTTATAGTTTCACTTCATTATAGACTATAAAACTTGGTTCCATATTGACTGTTTAAATATATGATAATACATGTTATTCAAGTGAAGTTATTGTATAAGATCAAAGACTTTGAGAATAAAGATGAAAATAGAATTTGTAGTGTCAAATATTCTGATTTGTGTGTAGTGACTTTACGTTGTTAATCAATCACTCTCGTAACCGTTATTATATAGGCCTCAATAATGTTTGAAATCAAGACGCAAAAAGGTGAGACGACCTTTGAGCGACACTAGAAAGAGCTTGAAAATGTCCACCTACATACTACCGTTAAATGATGATTATAAACCGGTGAGTGAGGAATCGGAACTAGTATTTACAGTTGATAGCAAGGGTCAAGAATCAGATATATGTTTTCACAATGAACTAACATCAACTATAATGCCCAAACTCTATCTAGTTAGATGAATGAATTAATTTCGCGCCAAAACTCAAGATCGGTTATCGTAAACCTGATTGGTTCGTCCATAAATTATAGTCTTGCAGGCGAAGAGAATCAGCAACTGTAGTGGTTTATTTTGAGATCACAAAACTACAAGCACATCGAGGGTACTTAAAGCTGGGAGGCGAATAAGCATAATTTAACGGTTTCATAGACACATTGATGGTAAAATTGCATAAAGGCAGAAGAAAGGCAAGGCTAGGACTAATGATAAGACGTGAGTACATATATACATAAAGAGGACGATGAATTATCGAGTGATATTTAAGCAATCGACATTTTAACAAGGTTGTTTTCTACAGGACAAGGTTGCCGATCCTATGCCTAACTCTCCTACTTTATCTGGGCATCAAACTAACAACATATCTAGAAGAGCTACAGGTGGAGCTAATATAGATGTAGTTAATACTTCATCTCATAGATAACAGAATTGAATGTGCGGACGCTAATTGATGTTCAATAACATTAAATGAAGTATGTGAACTAATAGAGTTATTAAAGTGCATTAAAATTTACTCTAACGATTGTAAAACTATATTGAATGAGTGTTTAGAGGCCACACCATCTGAACACTACACTCGACATTATTCCCGCACTAGACCGCCCCAACAGACTCCTCCTCTCCCAGCCCAACAAAAGCATCCACAGAACTTCCCTCTTTTCGCATGTTCTTTGGCAGAGATAACAAATGTATTGAATGAGAAATTAGGTGGGTATACCCAATTTATAGTGATATGACGGGAAGAAAAGTCAAAATTCGATTGAGTTAATCATTATGAGTCTTGTTCAACATTACTTGCGTTTGATTCAATGTGATGATTATTCAGTGTGGTAGCTGTTCTCTCGTATGATATTTTATTCTGTATGATATACGATATTCTTGTATTCTTTTCTAGTAGGTGGTTTAGTGGAGCACGTAGACGATGGAGATCAGGGAGGAAGGTACCATAATGGCTGACCAATCCAAAGAACGATCGTAGGGTAGGAATATCCCTAGTTCTAGGCACAATTCTCACAGTTTCAATGTTCTCTGGATCTGGTCGTTGTCGTCGTCTTTTATGGTTACTAGTAGATCTTAGGAGCCGAATCTAGCATTCAAACAACAAGACATATCATTTAGTTTAACGCAGAATAACAGAATATCTTGGTAAAATACGAAAATCATACATTCAATACATTATATACACACATTCCATCAGTTGTCTTTTATATGCTTCATGATTCTTCCAATTCTACTTTTATTTCAATTCCAATCTGTTTCCTTTCTCTCTTCTTCACTTTGAACTTCTCAGTCTTCTACTGTCAGACATTCCATTTCTGATTGGTATTACACTCTAAGTATATCTGTCAACATAAGTAGCATACACGTCAATTCTCTGCTTTCAGATAGACTAAAGAAAAATAGTAAAGATGAACTAACGTACTTTCAAGAAAATGAATTCCCTGAAACCGTTTACAAAACAGAAAACAAACATAGTAAATCAATCAATTTGACATTTCAGTATCGGAAGGGGTTTTGTGGATTTAAATCAACATATGCTCACTAGTGATGATCTCCAAGAGGTATTTCCTGAAGTCCTAATGAGAGTCCGTGACTAGTGGAGTTGTGAATGTGTCGTTCAATTTCGTGGATTAGTTGAAGTTAGACATTATCACAACTGGATTCTGGTCGGCTCAGTGATCTAGAAGTTAAGTGTTTGCTTGAAACTGTGTTCCGCTGCTAGTCACTATCCATCTTAAGGCTATATCTATGCAATCCATACAGGATGCACATATTGTTATATCCCGATAAGAATAATGAATGATAAATTTTGGATCCATTTATGGGTCAGTACTATGAGTATATTTTTATCGTATAATTGTTATGTAACTAAACTATTCATATTCATGTTGCTCGTGTTATAAGCTTTAATTTGGCTCATAGACTATTACTATACGTTCTATCATTCTTGAATTATGCCCTGTCTATTAGTCACTGTCTCCCACATTCACAGCCACATTTAACCAAATCTTGTACAAATGTTGTTTCATATTTTATGTTACCTTGTGATTTGTCTGATTGATATATAAACCGAGTATGTTTGAAATAAACGATTCATATTGCAGAGGCTAAGATTGGTGTTCTGGACTCAACTGGCTGGGTTAAGCGGAAAGCAGAACCGATCAGGACTCTAGGCTACTCGCATGTGTTTTATGCGTCACTGGTTCGGTCGATAGTTCGCTGCTCTCTGGTTAGCAGCATCGTTGCGTTATATAATAAACAGGGCACATAGGTTCACAAGTTATAACAAATATATATCAACAAGAGACTCATCAGTTGCAGTCTCAAACAACATCTAGAGAGAAATATATTGGTTTCTTAATCAAATTGTCGTTCATTTCAAAGGATTTGTTTGTTTGCTTGTTTGTTTGTTTGTTTTTAATATCAAATACAATGTCCTTTGGATTCATTCATGTCTGAGTAGACAGTTAGTTAAGCAAAACTCCACAAGTAGTGTTTTTTTAATCACTCAAGTGTTTTAATGAAGTTAATATAAACAACATTTTGCATCAGGTACATTATATTATACATTGAAGTTTTACGAAACACAGGTAAGCTATTATTAATATTATAATGCGATTCATGTTAAACTATCATTGAAAACCTGTTAGCACTGGACGACTGTTCCATTCCAGTACCGTAGGACTCCTTCATGCGGGACTCAAACCCAAGAAATTCAGTGACAAGCTTATTTTTCACATTGTTCATTGCAGTTATGATGATCATTGTAAAATGATATTTGATTCGAAACCAATTCTGATAAATTTGAATTGTCCCAATAAAGTCCTATGTAATACGTAACCAAAATATCAATTTTTTTATTATAAAAACAATACTGGTTTGCGTACAGTTTACATTTACATATTTAACAGTTGAATTTGTGGGTTAATTGAAGCTAGACCACCATGCGAAACTTGAAAACACTGGATGGTCGTCTCGTTCTGGTATGAGACTCCTCAACTGTATTCACGCAAAGTCTCGCCTTGCGAGATCTGAACCCGTTACCTATAAGTCTCGCAGGCGAATCCTCAATCTCTAGACCAGCGGTGTTAATGCCTAAATTCAACTAATTCACGAAATTGAGTGACACATCCAACATTGTCTTCATCGTGTTACTACCTCACAACAGACCCAGGTTGAACTATACTGGTCACTGCTACTCACTAGAACTCCGGGGAATACTTTTTGGAACCAGTTACTGGTGAGTATATGATGATTACAATCCATATTGGGTTTTGCGGATGTTACAGTAATCCAATAGTTGAATACATGGAAAACCTTGAAGCAATAGTTCGATTTCCATATGCAGTTTTGTGGATACCCACTTTCTAAGAATCTTATATCAGGACGAAACAGCTTTCTAATGCTTCTAGTTCTTCAATAGTGATCTAATTTAGATAGACCCATAAATTTAACTGTATCCAATTATATAATTCAATTTATGTTATATTCTAATTCTAGATCATCTTTATAAACATGTTGGGAATCGTTCAAATTATTCCATGCATTTACATTATTAGAAGTAAAGTTCCAAATATATCGACTTATGCAAGAAAAGTAAATTTGAGGTTTAGAATTAGTGATTTACAATAACAGGTTTTGATAATTCTTAACATTCAACTACTTATTACACTATTTATCAGGATACTTTTCTTGCTACCGTAAGTTAATGAATCAATAACAATCTTAATTCTATTTTTAGTTATGTAAAACGATCTGTAGAAAGTTTAATGGTAAAATCAATTGTTTTTAGTGTATTAGTGTACGTTATTCAACTTTATTTCTATGTTATTTATAATCTTAATAGTTGAGATCATGAATCAATTGAAATTAGACTTCAAAAGGTACTTCCTGGAGTTCAAATAAGAAGCAGTGACCAATGGAGTTTAACCAGGCCTGTTGTGAGATTGTTACTCACTGAAAATAATGGTGGATGTGGATTAGTTGAAGTTAAACATTAACACTGTTGAATGTCGACCGGCTCAATGACCTAGAGGTCAAACGTTCGTGAGTGAGACCGATAGAAGCTGGATTCAAATCTTGTGAGATGGAATGATGGGTGCACACTGCTGAAGTTTCCTATACTAGGTTGAAACGATCGTGCAGTTTTACAGGTTTCCACGGTGGCCTAGTTTCAATTGACTCATGATCTCAAATACTGAAATTACTATAATATCCACAAAATCCCCTTCTCATATTTATAATCTGTTATTTTAATAATTTTATACGAAATTTCAAACGATGAAATCAATCCATTGAGAGAAGAAATTTTTCTGGACGAACCAATTAGACATATCATAACAAGTTCACTTGGTATTGTTTGAATTTTATCTTCCCATTGAGGCTTAAGACTGTAACTGACCAGTCTGTTACTAAGTTCTCGTCTCAGAGTGAACATTAACTCTGAGATGCAGGTACATCCAGATGGCAAGTCTTAAGTAAGAGGAAACAGGCCTCCTGGATTCCACTGCTAACCACTATCCATCATTGCTTACAAAATATCATAACAAGTCTTGAGTTTTGGCTCAAAATTCATTCAACCATTTGGTTGGCATTTTAACTAATCTCATAGTTTGTGATGAAAAACCTGAATTCTAATTCTTAATCTTAATCATCAACTGTAAATCATAATCCTTATTCCTCAAACTGCTTCATAGCCGTCATTTAACCCGAAAGAAAAAGTAGACAGACACTCTCAAGAACACTTGTGTATCACTATAATGTCGTACATATATTATAACTCCACCATTTTTCTTCACTACGATGTCATTTACTCACTTGTCTTTGTGGAACAAACCCTGTCGAAAAAACAAACATTACTTCACTTAAATTTCTAAAGGAGGATATGAGTCGGTTGATAGGTCAGTGTTTGATTATATGATCAACGTAAACCAGCATCACAATGATGGCAAGTGTGAGCAGTCAATGTTGTCTGTTCAATAGTTTTAATTTAAAAATTGTAAACATTGAAGAAGAATATTGTGATTTATATCCTTCTATTAATCAGTCCAACTGACATTTTGATTAGATTAATCACTGACCAAACTGTTCTCAATAGCTTATTCATTGAAATGATGAGATTTATTTAGACACTAGACTGTTAGAAATGTCTAACTCTATTTACAAAGCATTTCATGAACTGATGTTTATATTTGACATTGTTTGAATGACTTCACTTCATTTGTGACAAATATCCTGACTGAGCGTATGAATTGGTTTCCTAAGCTCTTCTAATAAGTCACAGGCTAAATCTACATGACAACATGAACACGAGAGGATAGGTATGAAATGTGGAAAGAACGTTTATTTCAATGTTAGCTTGTGTTCCGAAAGTCATCAGTATTTACATTTCACATAACCATGTGCTTCTGAAAGTTCCCGGAACTCTTCTAAACATGGAATGAGGATGTGTGTTCAACCAGTCAGAAATATTAAACGTGAATCTTCACATTATGAAACGATGATTACATAAAGCATTTCCCAGAGTTTTCTGTGCCTTCTAAAGTTTTATCAGGGAATATCCTGGATCTCCCTAAAAATCTGGTAAGCCACATGTTATAATTGAACTACCTTATCCAAATTACCTATATCGTAGCAAAGTTAATTACGCGATGAGTGAGGAAACTGAAATATTAGGTCACATTTTGAATCTCTTTGCATTTTTGAAAGTCACATAATCAAACAAGTTCCATCATGCTTATGACGAACAACTAAGAATTGTGATAATAATGATTTAATAGGTGAATTCATGACTCAATCAAAGATGGACCACCATGTAATACATGAAATAATTGGACGACCGTTTTGTTCTGGCATATGACTCTTCAACAGTGCGCATACACGATCCCACACTCGTGATCCAAACTTAGCACCCATCGGTCTTGAGCGTGAACGCTTCACCTCTGGACCACTGAAACGGCATCCAACAGCGTTGGTACCTAACTTCAAAACAATTTATGAACTGAACAAACATCGTTTCTACATGACCTATCTAGCTATCGTTTTTTCATCCGTAACCGTTGCCTTTTTAATGTGTTACGATATTCAAATCCTATTACATTCATATGTAGGTCATAAGTAAATCCTCCACTGTGTTTAGATGTATATTTTTTTCTCTACTTTATAGCTTCATTGCAGTTGTGACTGCATTATTGATTGCATTTGTGAAGGAAATAAGTGATACATTCCCATTGAATGTTATTACTTTGTTTATTTATGTAAGAATGTTGAATTTAATTGATGAGTTATGTTCTAATATAACTGAGCAACATGATTGTTCAATGTATTAAGCAAGTTTATATTGTTTACAGTAACTTGATGGATTATGTAATGAGCATTTGTCAATGATTGATCTATACAGTAATACAGATCAAATGTTTGGTTGTTAATTCGTATTGTCATACAAATATTAAACCTTCTCTGTGCTTCAATCAATATACTTAAATCTCTGGTTGAAATCATGAGTCAATTGAAGCAAGACCACCATGGAAAATCTCTGAAAGACTCTTCGTGTCGGTTATTACGTTAAGCTCATTTACCCTATTATTGCCTCTGGATAGTCCGTTTCGTCTTAGTGTGGGACACCTCGTGTATGCATACTGCTAAGAGTCCCATACTAAGACGAATCGGTCGTCCAGTGTTTTCAGGTTTTCAGTGGTGATCTAACATTGATAGATTCACGATCACAATCAAAAACGTATCACGTAACTTAAGATTGTGCTTTCTGCAGTGGATAGTTTGAAAACATTTCAATCATAACTTTCATAGCATTTTATACACTGAAAAACGTTTACATTGGAATTTGTCTATGTAAATTGCTGCATTATTCATCGACTCTTCACTTGGTATTTTTACGGAAGTCCTCCAGATAAATCACTGAATCAACTTATGTCAATTGACCTTCATGTAGAAGCACAGGCCGCCTACCAACGTTCTTCAACCAAATCTATCCTGAGCAATTCTTTACAGTTGTTTCCAGTTGTTATTCATCCTGATCATGTTTGCTACAAGTTATCGTGGCAGTATGTTCTTTGGCCTTCCTCTTTTCCGTTTTCGTTTAGGATTCCAAATTAGTGCTTGCCTCGTGATACAGTTCGATGATTTTCACAATGTGTATCCTACTCACTTTCAACGTCTTTCCCCAATATCCTCTTGAGGTGCAAGCCGTTTTGTTTCCTCCAACACAAGTCGGCTGTTGCTGATGGTTTCCAGTCAAAGGACATTAAGCACTTTGCGTAGACAATTGTTTATTAATACTTAAAGTAATGGTTAGATGAATACATGTTTATTACCTTATTAGAAGTTTGACAAACAGTCTGAATCGATTAAATAATGGATTGATAAATATTATATAATCAAACTTCTAAATACATTTTTGGTAAAAGCTGTGCATTGCCCATTTCATAATTTCAGACGATGACCTTAGCTACAGCCATTGAAATATTGGATATATTGGTGGGTATGGGTGCTAAACTTGATGCTTTTGGAATCAGTCTAACATTATTTACATCGGCATTACTTATTGGTGCAGCTATCAAAACAAGATTAGCAGATTATTTAACGGCGATTGTAATACTGCTTATAATCGCTGCTATTTTAATTGCTGTAGCAAGTATTTTGATCACAATTTTTAAACACTCGGTATGTCAACAAGCATAATTAATTCATTTACAAATTAAGTCATCTTGATTTTGCCGTATTCTCTGTGAGATACACTCACGAGTACTTCACTGTTACTTTATATTATGTATATTTTCACAGCAAATACATACCGGTGAGATACTATTTATTATTTAGACACCTAACTGACGAGTGCCAAATAGCACGAAACTCGAGTCCAGAGTTTCCTAACGACTAACTCCAACCACCATCTTATCACAACATAATGCGCACAATGTCGAGTCACATAGACTAATGACCACATTGCAACTTTGTCGATAGGATTCGACCTGCAGTAAGAAGGACCTAGTTCACATGACATTGATCACCACCCAGTGATCAATAAATTGTACATACATCTCAGTCCAACAAGAGGTCAGTTGCGACCTGGATAACCAGTGGTAACGCCTCTGGGATTTTTATGTTGGATCCGATGATACCATTCAGTCTCGTAGTAATTTAGAAAATGATCTTATATTTGTCATCAGATTTAGATAAATGGGATTCCGGAAAATATTTATGGTCATTCTTTTAGATCAGTAACCAGAATCTTAGCCGACCGACTATAATTTATGGACGAATCAATGTGGTTTGAAATTCAACAATCTCAGCAGTGACTAGCTTTGAGAAAAAATTTCCGGGGCTCCAGTAAGACCAGTAGACATAATAGGTGTCGGGTGTAAGAAAGTAACTTATCGAAGATAATTGCGCAATGTCGTAGATTGATTGGAGTTAGATATTAAAACTGTTGGATGCCAACACAGTGATTTAGGAGTTCAGAATTCCAGAATGAGATTGAAGACCCTGGATTCGATTTGCAGAATATATGAATTATAATTGACAGAATGTAAGAAATGTATTACCAGCAGTAGGAATATTGATAATTTCAGTACGAAGTTGTAGAGATTGTAGAATTCCATTTGTAAGCACTAGACTATCGTTTAGTTCTAATAGGAAATGATTCAGCGATGCGCATCTACGACCTTTACAACCGAGATTCGAGTTCAGGGCCTTCAGTGTGACGCACGAATGCTTAACATCTTGAATTGAGTGTTCCAGAGGTTTAGTATACATGATCTCAGTAACATCGTTTACCTCATTTAATCCTGTCATGTTTTCATAATACTCGATTTATATACAACTTCCGTTAGTTAAAAACGAACTCATCAATATTTTTAATTCATTTTCAGTCAGCAGCGATCATATTCTACATACTTACAGATATATTGCTATTTGTTGTGAGTTAAAGTCATCTATATTTCATTTATTTAAAGTAAATTTGTGATAAGTCGTGTAAGTCGAACGCTATATACGACTCCTAAGCTATTCCGATAACCCGCAGTCTCTTATAGTGCCAACCTCCACATGCCCAGCATGGAGATGATGGTTTGTCGCTGTTATTTTGGAAATTATGGGTACTGGAACCTTGAAAGACTTTTCTCTTGACTGCATTGACGTTACGGAAACAGTTACCGTTTTCTACCATTGAGGTATCATGCTTTAAGTTTACTAACCTTTGGCACTCAGTAGTCACTTCTTGCAGGGTCATGTTAGGGCAGTGTTCGAGTTTGCTTAGGATTCTGGTTCGGATATCGGCATCTTCGGGTGAACGCAGGCTGCAGATAAATACTAAGCATTTAAACTGATCTTCAGACATGGACGACAATTTAAATCTCTCACATTCTCGGTTCACAGTTCCTGCATGCTTCACCCAGTCATCTCCTGGTTCTTTCGTTAACTTTAAGCACTGGTAACGGATATTAAATAGAGATGATTGTTCTCCAAAGATTTGGGATAGGGTTTTGACTGTATCATCAAAACTAAAATCTCGTGGGTTCTTCGGAAGAATGAAGTTGCTATAGCGTTCATGTTCCATAGTCCCAAGTTTTCTAAGAAGTATTCTGACTTTTGAAGCATCATCCAGTTTGCAAAGATCAATATAAAACAAATCTTCATACTTCTTAAACCACGACTCGAAAGTTACACCTGCTACACCATCAAAATTAAATTCATGGATGGCGTTAATGACTGAATCAGTATGTGATACTTGAGATTCACTAGAAGCAGGTTTTCTCCGACAGGCAGAATTTCTGCATCAGGGTTTCCATGATTCTAATATGGGACTCTTCAAACCTCTTTTCTTGACGCACCATATAAGCTTCTAATTGCTCCAAGGAAATATTCATTGAAGTTTTCATCCCCGTCGCCACTGATAAGTCGTGTAAGGTTGAACGCTATATACGATTCCTAAGCTAATCCGATAACCCGCAGTCTAGAACTACACAGCGACTTGAACTCCAGAGAGAAGACACAAGAATGAGAGAAAGCACTTTATTCCAAGGTTCATCTTTGTACAGAAAATCATGGGTATTTATAGATTTTGGCGTCTGTTAAATCAACATCATTTTACAGCCAATCCGATAACAACACCGACCAATAGTAGCACGCCACGTTGGAATTCTAGAACGTTCCATCACACTCTGATTGGCCAGGACTCTTCGGCTCCTTGTGGGCCTCTGGAGGCTCCGTTGAAGTTCTCCGGAAGCCGACTTAACAATTTGTAGTGGCTGGCACTTTGTCAAGCCCACCTCATTTATTTTAGCTCACAGACGGACCGATTTATTCATTCTTCCTGAGTCATATTTTGAACCTTGGTAATTAATCCCTTCGCGTTGCCTTGCTCAGCTCTTTGCCTTGACTCGCTGAGTGCGTTGTCTCACTCGACTTCTTTATTGCATATCATTTTGTTTCGCTTCAATATTCGATCGACAATTGTACAAATATACATATTCAAAACTTCATTCTCGTATTTGACTTATTTTAATTCCCTTATTCACTAACGCCAGTTAAGTCGATCATTATATATGAGAATTGGCGATTTGTATAAGTCGACAATGATCAGTCGTACGATCCAAATGGAGTCAGATATTCAATGGCCAATAAACATTTACTCTCTTGGTATCTTAAAAATCATCCTGTCATTTACATTCCTCAAGGATCTGTTCGATGGATTTTCATTGCCTTATTACAATAGCTGGTGAATGTGACTTGAAATTGTTGTTCACATAAATGAAACCGAGTTTCGTTTGGCATATTATACATTAAAATGAAACATTTTCCAGTGTGAGATTCTGGAGATTGTTACGTATTTGACTGAGATCGTAAACTGATTACTTTCAGACAACCATTGAAAACATGGAAGCATTAGACGGCCGTTTCGTCCTAGCAGGTGGCTTCTCAACATTGCGCGTCCTTGACCTCTCACAAGATTCTAACCCAAAACCTTCCGTCACACAAACGAACGTTTCACAACTAGGCCAGTGAGCCGGCATCCAACGGTGTCAGCGTCCACCTTCAATCGATCCACGAAATTGTAGAGCGATCTGATACTGTCTGTGGTTAGTAAATGCCTCACTGCAATAGGTTCGAATCCCTCGAGCTGGATCGTGGATGTCCACCACTAAACTCGAATGAAATGGCCGTCCATTGCTTCCAGGTTTTCTCTGATAGTCTAACATCAATCGATTCACGATCATTATTTTAATATATATTTTCAATAAAGATTGTTTATTTGTTCAACCAACACTAGAAAAGGTATTCGTTATCAGATTTAATCTAACTGTTTTACTTCATTTATTTTATAGATAACAATATTTGTCAGTCAAATAACAGTTGGCAAATTACAATTACGTATCTTTTGTACAGAATATACTTTGGCTGCATTATTATTATATAATATGTTTTCAGCTACCTATTTAACCACTACTGGTATGATTTGTAACATAACCAGCACTTGTAATAGTTCAAATGCATCCATTTATTCATTCAACAATTTACCGGGTTATATAATTTGAATTTGAAAACTTACATATTACAAAACATAATTGGTTTTCATCGTTTGTTTATTTATATCAAACTTCAAAACATCTAACCAACTTATAACATGTTTTCTTGTTGAATAAAGTTACGAATTCTCTATGTTCATTTTGTTCAATGAAAACATCAAAGAATCCCTTTCAAATATTTAGTGATTTTTTGTGAAATTTGAGAAAACTAAGCTGTGAAATGTTGTACTGTTTGTTTGAATCTTCTCATCGTTTTCTAGGACTGCAATTGATCAGTCTTTCTCTTATTGGCATATGTGCACTCTGTGAGGTTTGTCTCGATATATCCTTACGTTACAAGCGTTTTGAGCGAAGATTGGAATCCAGTTTGATACGTGTTTTGCCCTGTTTAAAGCTTGTCAGATGAATGTACCTGAATCATAGAGTGGATGTTCACTTCGGCACTTAAACCCAGTACCGTTCACTTCAAACGCCATCTCGTTATCCACTTAAATACTGATTTATGATAGCCACATCATCTCTGAGATGCAAGTACATCCAATAGGCCGTCGACCAGCATTCTGCAACCCACTCTCTCCTCAGCCTTCCTTTCTATCTCTATCCAATTGTTATTCATTCTTCTCATGTCTGTCTCCATTCGGTGTAATTTGTTCTTTGGTCTCTTACTTCTCCTTTGGCCCTGGGGATTCTAATTTAGGGTTTAAACACTCATTGGTTGATAAGAATTACGAGGATTATGATTACCTTAAAACAAAATAGTCATCGTATTGGCTAATTGGGCAGTAGATAGATAGACAAACTAATTTATATGTTGTCTAAAACGGTGTCTGCATAATAAACTGAATGTCCGAATTATAACGCTTCATCTGAAAGCCGAGATTCTTTGAAACTTACGAGGCCGATGGCACTTCTGACAACAACAAAAACAATTTGTATAGGTACATGGAGTGTCCGGACAATGTGAAGGAAGAAGAAACTACTATGGAGGACAACTGAAAGGGGATCGTGGAAGCATTAACTTTAACATATCAGTTTTAAAATTACTTTACGTGTTTGATAATCTAAACCTTAGATGATTGGAAGAACTAGCGACGGCGGCGGAAAAAGCTTCCAGAGAAGGAAATATGAAACAGCTTTACGATGCAAGGAAGAAACTAGCAGGGGAATACAGTAAACCAGAGAGACCGGTCAAAGACAAAGAAGGCAAGCCAATCACTGAAATTCAACAACAGAAGAACAGATGGGTAGAATACTTCGAGGAACTCCTGAATAGGCCGGCTCCAATGAATCCATTGGACATCGAAGCAGCACACACAGATCTTCCTAAAGATGTCAATCCACCAACGAAGGAAGAAATCAGATCGGCCATCTGACAAATCAAGAGCGCGAAAGCAGCACGACCCGACAACATACCAACTGAAGCACTGAAGTCAGACATCGAATTAACTACAAACATACCTCACCTTCTATTCGAGAAGATTTGGGAGGAAGAACAAGTGACGATGGACTGGAAAGAAGGATACCTCGTCAAGATTCCAAAGAAAGGAGATCTGAGCAAATGTGAAAACTACAGAGGCATTACATTACAGTCAGTACAAAGGAAAGTTTTAAAAAAGTGTTGCTGAACCGGATGAAAGGTGCAGTAGACGACAAACTTCGAGAAACAAGCTGGATTCCGTAAGGATCGATCGTGCACAGACCAAATTGCAACACTACGGATCATCGTCGAACAATCAGTTGAGTGGAACTTGTCACTGTACATCAACTTCCTTGATTATGAGAAAACTCTTGACAGTGTGGATAGGAGGAACTTAAGGAAACTACTTCGACATTATGGTGTGTCTGAGAAGATCGTCAACATCATACGGAATTCATATGACGGATTACACTTCAAAGTCGTGCATGGAGAATATGTGATACATGCATTCCAATTGAGAATCAGTGTCGGACAAAGCTGTCTACTCTCTCCCTTCCTTTCTTCTGGTGGTCGACTGGATTATGAAGACCTCCACATCTGAGGGAAAACATGGCATACAATGGACAGCTGAGAACCAATTAGACGATTTGGACTTCACAGATGACCTAGCCCTCCCATCGCACACACACGAACAAATGCAGATAAAGACAGCCAGTGTAGCAGCAGTCTCTGCATCAGTGGGCCTCAACATACACAAGGGGAAAACCAACACGAAGAACAGCAATCCAAACACTCTTGATAGCGAAACTCTAGAAGATGTCGAATCCTTCACATATCTGGGAAGCATCATCGATGAACAAGGAAGATTCGATGCAGACGTAAAGGCGAGGATTGGCAAAGCAAGGGCCGCATTCCTACAATTGAAGAACATATGGAACTCAAAACAACTTTCGACCAATATCAAAGTGAGAATCTTCAATTCGAATGTCAAGGTAGTTCTACTGTACGGAGCTGAAACTTGGAGAACTACAACGACCACCATCAAGAAGGTACAAGTATTTATAAATAGCAGTCTACACAAGATGCCCAAAACCCAATGGGACACCCTTTTGGGAGAGAACAAACCAGCTTCCAGATGAAGAGGAAATTAGGAAGAGACGATGGAAATGGATAGGACATACATTACGCAAATCGTCAAACTGCATCACGAGGCAAGCCCTAACTAGGAATTTTGAAGGAAAGCGGAAAAGCGGAAGGCAAAAGAACACATTACATCGAGAAGTAGAAGCAGATATGAAAAGGATGAATGACAACTGGAAGGAGCTGGAAAGAATTGCCCAGGACAGGGTTCGATGGAGAATGCTCCTTCACAAGGAGTAACGGGAGTAATTAAGTAAGTAAGGTGATTAGAAAGCCCAACGGAATCAGTTCATGAAGTCAGAAACTAATAATCTGAGCTATACGGGTGAACATAGACTACCAGGTTGAGGTGACATAGCTTTGAACCGTTCTTAACTCTAGAGTTTGAGTTCAAATATCCCTTCATACGCAACTTTTCATTCCATTACCACATTATTTTGATTTTTTTACTATTCATCTTGGTAATCTCACCATGTTTATACTGCGTAGGAACTTGAACTGAAGATTTGTCCTAGGCTATATGTTGATTGTGAATGATTCATTGACTGACTGACTGACTGACTGACTGACTGACTGACTGACTGACTGACTGACTGACTGACTGACTGACTGACTGACTGACTGATGACTGACTGACTGACTGACTGACCTAGAATTTTCAACAACTTTTTTGCTGAATTCACATTTTAAATTTATTTTAGTTAATATATGTAACTTATGCTAACATTGTTTAAAAAATCAATAATGTTCTCATAGGTTGATAACAACTCGAATTAAATATTTTTGATTGAGACCATGAACCGATGATGTTAGACCACCACTGAAAACCTAGAACCACTGGACAGCTGTTTCGTCCTAGTATGGGACTCCTCAGCAGTGCATATCTATGATCCCGCCCTCTGGATTCGAACCCACGACCTTCGGTCTCGCCAGCGAACTCTTAAACTCTGATGTCTGACATCAACCAATTCACAAAGTTGCGTGACCATCTATTGTACTGATTTACATACATGTCTCTCTGTTACTGTATGAACATCCTGATCAGATTGATTGATAGGTTGTGGATGTGCATTGCTAAAGAGTTTCACAATAGAAAGAAACGGCCATCCAGTGATTCAGGTTTTCAATGGTTGACTAACATCAATCGGTTCACGATCTCAATCAAAAACTTAATAATCTCCACAACCCTATACTGATAAGTATAATTAAATATCTTCAAACTAAGGTTATTTTTTTTATTATAAACTTCTCAGTCACTTAGCTGCAACGTAGAACCAGTCCAAGATGCCATAGTTCATAAGCAAAACAAGATGATCACCAAATTCATAGAAGTTATAAAATTCTGATTAAAACTATATGCTTTTTAAGTAAAGATGGATAGTGTCTAGCAGTGGTATCCGGGACGCACGTTTCGTCCTATTTATATCTCATCAGCTGGATGTACCCGCATTCCAGGATTGAAATTTCCTCTGGGACTCGAACCCAGTGCCCTTCGCTTCGAACGCCATCGCATTATCCACTTAACTACTGAGTACTGATAGCCACTTGCTTGTGTAATGGGTTGAAGTTTAATTCACTTGATATTGTTTTACTTGTATCTTCTCATTGTTATAGGACGAAACGCGCGTCCTGGATTCCAGTGCTAACCACTATCCGTCTTTGCTTAAACAGCTTGTGACTTAAGGCTATATCGAGGCAACCCGCACAGGATGCACATATGTCAACAAGAGACTGATCAATTGCCTTCTTAAATAACAATCGGAAGATACAAGTATAACAACATCAAGTGAATTTATTTGCTTTTTATTTTCTTAACAAGTACCACAACAGATCATTTTATACTTCTTGAGATATGATTAGTTGTTTAATTCAACGGACTTTTTTCCTCCTAGTGAATGTTGAATTATTCGATTGTTTGATAATTGAAATTATTTTATGTCCTACAGACATCTAATTCATTGGTTGTGTTAGCCTGATTTAAATCGCATACTAGTAGTGTGGCATGTGTTGCTGATATCGATAGATATAAGTAGTATATATCATCACCAATCGAAAGTGAAATGTCTGACGGTAGAACGTTAAGAAGATCGAAGAGAAGAGGACAAAAACAAAGAATGATTGCGGTGGAAACGGCGAAACAATGAAGTCTAATACGATTAATTGACATTTTGTAAATGAAGATTTTACTGTATGGTTCTCAGATTTTACTAATATTTTCTGTAATGTTGCATTCAAATAGAATTGGTTGTCCCCGTTGTTGTTCTTGTTCACTACAGATGTAACCTAATTTAGTTGTTACAAAATAGCCAGTTTAAGTATTTCTTTGGAGAAAATCCATACTAGTTAGACAATAAAAATGAACAGATTACTACGGTAGGTTTAATCATTTATCACAACTGATCTTAGGTTATGTCAAACAGTATCTCTGATCAGTGACCACAATAATAATCAAGATCCCAGTCAAGAAGTATATATCCACTAAAATGGTTCAAGTGAACAATCATTGACTTCATAAATTGATATCACGTCTTGATCTCTCCACTCTTAACTGTTTTTTTCCAAACTACTTTCGTGGTAGTTAGTGCTGGATTTCGTGGCAGTTGGTAGGTAGATTAATCTAAGACAAATCCTGATCAACATAGTCGATGAAGATTTTAAGTTTCATCAAGAAACTCGTCTTTTTTTTACCAAGTATCCTATTCTTAATATTAGTAATATGTATTAAATGAATTCGCTACACTCAAGAAAGGAGTTCCGAGAACATCTGGTGGAATGCTGATAAAGTAAACCAATTAAACA